TAGAACTACTTCTGCAAACGAAATGTCTTCAATCTGAGCGCCAATTCGATAGAAGACGTGTTTCCATCGATTTACGAACCCACGTCCATTACTTCTGGTAGGCCTCGTCGCTTTACCTCAGAACAAGCTAGGACTTTTCTTCGATAAAATGACCTTTACTGATGATTTCAAGGACAATTATGGATAGGCATTTCGACAATATTCATCTGTCATTTTGGAGCTTCTGCAGACGATATTTATCATTGGGGTGTTAGGACTTGGTAAGTCATGTTTGTGTGAATATTTCTTCATCTCGTCAGTCTTCCTACCATCCTTTCACACCGTAAAATTATTTTATCTTTCTAAAAACCTTAATATTTTTTAGTAGAACATAAATCTACATCCATTTCCCATTACTGCGATGTATAAGATATTATACCTATATGTATATTTCGATAATCAAGCATGCCAAAACTCATTTGCAAAAAACGCTCACCGTGGCACTTTCTTGCGGTCCTTTTTACTCCGTCCAAACCCAGTTTTTGCTCCAGAGACAAAGAGTTAAGCACTTTACTCTCTGCACAGCCCACGCCGGATGGGTCTCCGACTCGTAGTCTTTTTTATTTTCCTTCCTACGGGACTGAATCGTTCCGACTCGAAATATAAAGCAAAATCGTGTCAGTTGAATCAGATTGACGCGGCATGGTACAAAACAAATCGTCATCCATTTGTGAATGATTGGCATCTATTGAATGAAAAGTGCACTTTTTTTAAATTCAAAACTCGTTTCACGTCTTCGAATGCAGTTTATGGTTGAACAAAAAAATAAAAAAAAAACTTTCACCAGCCTAGTCTTGCTTTAAATTTCCTGCCACGCAAGTACACAACGGAGAGTGTTTCTCCAACGTCGAAGCAAGAAAACACCATGTTACAGCCCATAGGCTTCATCAATAAACGACTGACACGGCCTGGAAAGCACTGCTCGTCGGTCCAATTGGACCCCAGAATAAAGGGCATTTCACACTTCGCGTGTCGTGCTTCTTTTGCATAGTTCAGGGGCGTGCAACCTTTATCGGCAGTGGGTCGCAGAATGCAGAGGAAAAAGCTCCCCTCTTTTGTCCTCAGGACATACGAGGGCATACGGTCGCGCTGATCGGCCGATTACCCTTACCTCCTCCCCACCCCTAGGAAATTCCAACAACCAGAAATAGCCTTTGGCATTGAGAACCTTCTTCCTCGGGACATACAGTATGTTGCAACGCCCATGAGAGTAAAAATTAGAAGGAAGTGAAAGGACTCAGTCTATCTCTTGGTACTAAGGGATGACCAAAGTTGTGATGGGCCTTCAGCTGCAAAGAAACTCATCTGTTATCCCATTATGCATTAGCGGGCCGCAAGAAGGAGACCCACGGAACACATGCGGCCCGCGGGTTGCACATCCCTGGCGTAGATGCTAGGCATAGGCAGACGCAAGCATGCACACGCATGTCCACTTGCATCTGAAGTTTTTTCACAAAGCAAAAAGCTTGCGCTTGGAAATCGAATGAACTCAATTGGAAAAGCAAGCATTGCGTTTCGTGAAAAAACCTCGGATGCAAGTGGACACGCGTGCTTCTGCCTACCTGCCCAAGCATCCACACAAAGGACGCATGACACGCGAAGTGTGAAACGACCTCAACACAGCAAAATCGATCCGGCAGCGTGAGTGTTAAACGCATCGAAGGAAAACACCGAAGACATCGAAGGACACCACGACCGCCTCGGGGCTTTCCAATCCATGGCAATAAAAAAAAATCCAGTTCCCCCGTGCCTGATACGCACAGGAAGGGCCTTGGATTCCCCCCGCGATAAAGAAGGCCTCCCGGCGTAAAGAAGGCCTCCTCACTCTGCGCCAGACGAAGATGGCGACGCAAGGCGACGAGGCCGTGCTGCACAGCATTTTCAATCCTCTGCTCCCCATCGGGGAATTCATCCCCGACGCCCATCCCCGCGACCTCGGTGAGTCGGTTCAGGCTGGGTTTAGCTGATAAGAATAATGCACGGACTCTAAGAAAGCAAAGCATGATGAAAGGCGTCTTTGTGATCGTGAAAAGTAAATCCGGATCGACTAAACGGGCCTTTTCTTCTCCGCGTAAGCAGGAAGCGACGGCGCTATGCATTTCACCCTCCACATGACAAAATACCTAAATTCGTACATTGCAAACTCGGATCCATCCCGTCCACCCAGCCCCTCCCCCCTTTCATTCGCACCCGAAAACTTCGCCTCGACCGTCCATGCACCTCCCTATCCGCGCATTCGGAGGGTCGCTACCAGACTCGGCGGCCAGCTCGCGTGTCGTTCTTGATGCCATCCGGGGGAGAACGCCTCCTCATTTCGTGAAATATGCATGCGGAGGAGATGGAAGGACGAGAAACATGGCTATGCATGGACGTACACATTTGCTGTGATGTTTATAAGCTATGACACAAGCGATAAGACGACGCGACATGTGAGGCCATATCCACAACCGTTCTAGCAAACAGAACCCTCTTCAAGAATTCTAATTCACCGCATGGAGTACAGGAACTCTCATTCCTCAAACCTACGACAGCTCGAGGACCCCCCACCCCTCAAGATGAATATATTTTTAGGCATGACATTTTCAACCCGAACAGTCGAGTCCGCTTCATTCGATCCATGAAAGGTGAAACCGTGCAATGGGGATCGACTTCGTTGGGTTCGGATCCCTATACCATTCGTGCTGTAAACGTTCCCGGGCTGAATTCACCCATAATGACGTCACTAGTTTCAACTTCATCTCCGTTCCATAGAGGTCACTATATACCGTTTTGTCGCACCCACTGGGCCATGGCCTTGCGTAGAGGCTCCGCGCTGTACGAGTTGAGCCGTCGTGGTTGGAGGGCACAGCCACAGCTTTCGTTGTGTTATCGATCAGGAATAGAAGCTCGTTCATGCTTATGGACGCATATATCGTTTATAAGACTTACAATGTTCTCAGTGCTGCTCATATGCTATTAGTAGCAATTGATTATTGTGCTTTATTTAATCGCTTTATCGAAATATTAATCAATCCGCATTCTCCTTTATAGCGATGAAAAATGGGTGCGGACTGCAGCTCACTACCGTCCCGTCAAATCGATTTTAGGTTTCCTTTAGCCGTGTGGGTGTGATTTTCTGATTGGTTGACCCACATTCACGGGTTTAAACTCCCGATTACCGACCCTCCCCGAATAATCCTGCGCTCGATGAGCATCGATCATCGGACATGCTCGATGAAGCAGAAACTTCAAATTTAGAAATAGCTTAGAAATGCTCCCATCGCTGCCTCGATGGCTTCTTCGATTTCACTTGCCACAGCGTTCCCATCGTTAACCTTGGAATTACCAGAACCCGGGTGGTGATATGTTTAACTCTTTTTTTTCATCTCTTCATTCCCCAAGAGTCTTTTCAAAATACTTAGCTACTTAATACCACATGTATACGGGGTATCGAACTCGAAAAGTTTATGGCACACGAATGACATTTTTGTATCAGGGTCCATCGGACCCAGAACGGTAATTAAAGGGTTAAAGAGACAGACGGGGTGGATGGGAACTCGTCCCAGACAGATTTTAACAGACGACGTCTAACCAAATTTGAAAAAAAAAAAATTTAACCCCGTTGTCTACACGTCAAAGCTGATTCCCAGAAATATATTCCTCCCAGAGAGGAATATATATTCCTTTTCCTCCTCGACAGGATCAAATTCAAAGCAAACATGAAAGCAAATGCTATTTGTTCTCAGGATGAATCCCCTTTCCGCTCGTCTTTGGGGACTTCTCCACTCAAAGAGAAGCAGTTGCAGTGGATTGTAAATGATTCAAACAGATGAAAGATGCACGAGGAGAAATATTTCAATATTGATTTGTTCCATGATAAAAAGAAAACAAAAACAAGCCTTTGAAATAGCAGCCGTTTAACGTTTAATCCCAAGAGATTTCGTTTCGAATCTGAAAAAACATAGGTTCGTAGTTCGGTATTCTTCGGGTAATTGAGTGAACCCCTCCTATATGAATTACGTCGAGGTTGCATGGTGATTCGGCCCGATTCTTTGTAACCATTCGTAGGTCGTGGGTCTACTTTAATAATCACAGAGACGCAGTTTGGCAACCTCGAAATACGTGAACATGCAGGTGACCATGTCCTACGGTTAGCGAGTGAAAAGTAGACTTTAAAAAGCTCGGAAAGCTGGACTCCACGCGTTTCAGGCGCCGGGCCGTGTGAAAGCCCGTGGGGCCCCACGGGCTCCCACACGGCCGGGCGATGAAGCAGGGAGGGAAAGAGATTGCGCTTGGAGATCCGACGACGCTGGACACGAGCGAGCCAGCTGAATGGAGACGGAAAACGAGACGGCGAACGAAGTGGGCGGGGCTTCGCATCCATTCGCACCACTCGTAATGATGGCCTGTCTGAGACCAAGATTTTCCGTAATGAGATATGGAGGGAGGGAAGAATAAGACGCAGATTGCGTCCTTGTGTCATAACAGTGTCAACTTTTTTTCCCTGCTGCTGCGTGGGCTAGAAGGGAGGCTCGACATGCGGAACTAGGGAAAGGGAAAAGTGGCATAGCGACTGGGTGGGGGCCGGGGCGCTTCGGCCTCCCTCGCTCCCCCTGACGAATAATGATGCCAATACCGAATGGAGGGAGGTCTACATAAAACATGATCATTTATTTCCCATACAGTATTGATCTCGGGAGTGATTTTGCATTATCGGAGCGGAGGGCCTACGAAGAATGACGACAAAGCCGTTTGAAATCATGGAACGTCTTAGTGGGCCTATATCTATAGAAATATTTCGACAGTGGAAAATATATAAAAAGTCCCTTTACATCATTACACGACGTATTTAGGGGGGGAATGCAGGTTTCTCGCAATATTTCACCTCGGCTGCGTACCTAGGCGCAGCCTCATCATAACTTCATTTCGCACGCAGGTAAAAACATCTTGAAACGAAACTCACTGTGATGCGACATTTCCGAATGTACGTCAGCGAAATGATGAAAAACGACCCAGCTGTTCCAGGAAAAGTTTCCCATGTCTAAATCAGGCAATTCACCCTCGTCGAGAAGTGTTTCTCAACGGAAAAAATAACACCTACGCTTCCTTCATGGTCTGCCAGCGACTTACACCACACCAGCACCAAACAATCGCACCTTCTCCGGCCGCCATATTGCATCGCCTGGAGCGACACCTGGTCTTCGCAACCCTCATCGCCGAGGGGAAGTGGTGGAGGATGCTGTCGAAGGCGCACAGTCTTAGGCTTACCTCGTCGCCGGAGACTCGTATCGCGGGGTGCGCCGAGTTTGGCTTGAATCCGCGGTGCGGTTTCGGAGACTTGTGATGGCTTGTATCACGCATCTTATTCGGAGGTCCTTACATTAATTTACACGAAATTTGGCGCATTGATGAATCTATCACTCTCGGCGTAACTAGCTTCATTGTAGAATTGATTGGTGGAAGTAGTTCCTGGCTTAGAAGAAATTTCAGGAATCTGGTTAGCAGCTCGTCCGCTTCCGGAATGCCTTCCCAGGGCATGCTGAACGAGAGCGAAGATATTAAAAATTATTTGCCATTTAAAAAAAAATTAAAGGCTATTTTGGAAGTTGTGCACTGAAGTAATTGAGGGTTCCTTTTTTTTCTTCCTCTCTCCAGCCCAATTAAAATTTCTCATATTAAAGTTTCAACTGATGAGTGGTAAAGAAAACATATCCGTCATTATGAAACTTCCCAGGTTTTATTTTTCATTCGCTATTTCCGTTCTGCGTCCGTAATAATTAAATGGAGATCCGCGGAAAACCCTTTAAACGCTCCAAATAATAAAGAAAAAAAAAAAGATTAATCCTGAGAACTACAAAGTCCATAGAGCAAAGCCCGTCTCTGCCCAGATGAGCCGGAGGAGGTGGAGGGGGTGCGTAGGAGCAAGGAGCTGGAGGTGGAGGGGGTGCGCCTAGCGGAGGCGGGACTGCTCAACCTGGCGGCGACCAAGTTCACCCTGGCCATCGAGTCGGCGCCGAGCCGGCCGCAGCCGTATAACAACAGGGCGCAGGTGCTCAGGCTCCTGGGGGATGTCGAGGGTGAGTTTCGGGGTGGTCTGGTACGAGTGGAGGCCTCTAGGGGCAACGAAAGTCTTCAAAATGCTGTTCAGCAAATACTTTACTCCTTTTTGATGGAAATCGCTGAAATGCATTTTGCTGCGGCAGCTCAGGTTGCTGAGCTTAGCTATTTCATGAATACAAGTAGAAACGTTGGAGTTTTGACCGAAATTTGAGTAAAATTTAGATCCCTGAACTTTTCTAGTAACTCGATTAAAACTGAATGCCTGAATTTTCTCTAAGTCGTAAACAATTGCATTCGTGCAAAATAATTTTTCTCAAAGTAGCCTTCAAAAAACACTAACTCCTAAAAAAGAAATGAACATGCTCAAAGCTAAAAAAAAAAACCAAAATCGGAATGTCCGTAGTAAGATCTAATTAAATCTCAGCTAAGACACAAAATATCACAAAACCTTTCAGACCTGCCCTTTTTTCTTTCCATTGGAATGTGAACCGCAGGAGCCCTTGAAGACGTGAACAATGCCTTGAACTTGGCCAAGGAGGGGGTGCACGACTTCACAGCCAGCCAGGCCCTGTGTCAAAGGGCTTGCATCCTCCGCCTCCAGGGCCAAGAAGATCAGGCCGTCCAAGACTTTGAACGAGCTGCGAGGCATGGCAATTCCTTTGCCAAGGGACAGGTAAGACATGTAGGAATAAAAATTATTCTCATGTAAAAACAAAAAACTTAACTTATCTCTCTCTTACAGTTGGTCCAGCTGAATCCATATGCAGCGATGTGCAATAAAATGCTTCATGAAGTGATGGAGAAGCTGCAGAGATCAGCAGTCAATTAAAACTCATGAAGCACATCTAGTTCAACCCACACCCTCATCACATGAATAGAAGCGACATGACACAAAATAAGAGAAAATAAAGAGTTCATTTTCCAATTTCTCCACCCCTTTACCTATTGATGTGAAATAATCAGGCAGCTCTGGATAATAAATACATAATGGAGGTATAAGTGAGAAGTTTGGCGCATCGGTCAAAGACGACAAAAAACGAAAAACTGGGAACCGACAGCACTCGAGATTCGCACTCGTGGATCGCATCTCAAGCGAGGCAACAAACAATATGGAATTTTTCATTTTGCCATCACAAGCATTCCATCACCAGCATAAGGACTGTTCATTTCCCGGTCCCAGATCGTGCTGATTGCGGAAGACGGGGTTCCTAGTTGGTAATATTTCTCTTCTAGCTTGATGCTTCTGCTTCACCTTCACCATTCTCGCTCTCATCATCATTGTCTTCATCTTTCTCCACCATCTCAAAGTCCTTCCCTGTTGGAGTATTGTCAGAGTCCTCTGCCTCTTCCTCATCCACTTCCCCTTCTTCTTCCCCTTTTGCTTCTTTCCCTTTCCTCTTCCTCTCTTCAGTTTCTTTTTCTCCATCTCCCCCCCCTTCCTTTTCTTTCTCCCCTTCCATTTCATCTTTCTTTTTCCTTCTTCCTTTCCTGCAATTCATTGAAGAAAAGGCTTCAACTCATCCACAATTCCAGTTCATCACACACACACACACAATTGCTTTGAAAAAAATAAAAAAATAAAAAAAGTTAATTTTAACTAGAAATTCATATGGCCATTTTCATCAAATTCATTTAAAAATCAGAATATTGGCTATTGCATAGCCAAAGAAAAAAACTGCCTCCTTAGGTAACTGAGGCATGTTGAAACTTGAGGGCAAATCGGTCAGCTGCTGCATTCACTTCATTTTTGCTTCAGAATGTAGGATGCAGCAATAATATCATTAAGATCGTGCAGCAAAATGAATACACTAAATTTATTCGCATTCAAGTGCTTGCAACATGTTTCAGAGATCAAGGGAGGCAATTTAACCAACTTGGAGTATATTTCTTATAATCAGATATAGGAAATAAGATATTTTCGTCCGTACAGTAAGTAAATTGAGGCATCTTAATAAATTTTCCCATTCATATTCTAATACACTGCATGTCAATTGAAGTGGATAATTTATATTTTCCCATTTAAGGCAACTTGGATACATTATTTGTTATGAAATAAATGACAGTCAATACATTTCAACTTATTATTTACAATTCTACAATTTGTAATTTAAGAACATTTATTCTCTTTTCATATATTTCAATAACAGGTAACAGCAGAATTCCAAAAATACAAATGAAAAACAAAATATCACTTCAAGTGATGTGCAGGGTATTAAACATGCCAAACTTGTGTATTAAGAAAACATAAAGCAGGACGCTCAATGACTTCTCTGTCATGCTCACTTGTCAGGAGTGTACTTCAAGCAATTCTATTGCAAGAGTTTACAATGTAATACCCTCTGTGAAACACGTTCAATTATGAATGTATGATCTATTACGTAAATTACTCATTCACTAAATAATTGTATTAATCAAATATATATACTTCTTTTCATACTTCATGCTATTTTCAAGACACTGTAATGGGGGGCCTCTTCACCTCAGGATCCCCCCAAAAAATCCCTGTAATATAAATTAGAGTAATAATAGAATGCATTTCTTACCTATTTCTCTCTCCATCTGACTCATTGTCTGCATCTCCATCAGAATCATGTTCCTTCCCACCATCAGTTTTCTTCTTTCTTTTTTCCTTCTTGCCATCTTTGATGAGGCCCTTGTATTCATACTGTCAGGATGAAAGAACAAATGCTTTTTGGAACATTTAGGCCTATATCAAAAGGAAAATGAATGAATGCACAATATATGACATCAATGATTTATCCTGGCAAAATGTCTGACAGAGCACCTACAAAAAGGTCACTCAATATTATCAGTCAATCATTGTCATATTTTTGTAGACCTTTACATATATGTCCCACTTTATGGTTTGGATTCATCATTTACCACCCAGCTAGTATGTCCAGAAGGAGAGGTAGAGAGAGACAATCACCTTGTAGAGAGGCCAGAAAGAGGCAAAGAAGCCAACATCCTCTGTGAGGTTGGGCAGGATCCACAGATGATGTCGACCAAACGTCAAGGCCCAGACGATGCAGAAAATGACGAGCCGAAGGACAGTGAGCCCCAGGATGACCACCAAGAACCCGACAGCTGCCAAGCTCAAGTAGTACACTCCCTGCCTGCAACATTCCCCCCCCCCCCATGAACAGAGAAAATAAACAACTTGATAGCCACATAAGATATCTTCACACTGATCAATCTAACCATGAACACTAATCCAAGACTACTTCTGGAAAGGGCATCTTATCAGCTACATACTTCCAAGTCATAATTTTACCTATCATGTCAAAACATTATTGCTAGATAAGCAGTGCTCAACAATATCACTCAAAGACAACAAAGATAAAACTAATATCAACATAATTATGTTTTCTCTATCGACAAGCTTCACAAAAGTTATCCAGAGAAACAGGCTAGAATATGACAAGGGGGGCTGACCTGAAAGCAGATGGCCAAAGGGGAAATAGGCAGAGCGCAACAGCCCCGACCACAACCATGACGGATAAGATCCAGTAATACCATGGGGTGTGGTCATAAATCCAGACATAGGCATCATTCCCATCTACAAACATCTGCTCCAGGTGCATGTCCAGCTTAATCCTCTTCTTTTCTTTCTTCTCCTTCTCCTAGTTGATAACAACATAAAAAAATTTCACCAGATGAACTCCTTATTTAAAAGCAGAATGAAAGTTGGGTTTATTCAGAATTCATCAAGTCCAATTAATTCCAAATAATAAGCATCAAATCTGAGATAATAATTAAAAAAAGAAAAGGCAGACAGGGTTGGGGGTGGGCAGGAATAGGCTATGAAGCACATAGGGTATATTACTGAAAAGATATGCTCAATTGCCATTGACCAATTCATAATGAGATGCTGCTCAAATCACAGATTCCTGTGACTGCTGAAAAGGCTTTATTATGCTCTTCTCTCCATTAAAATAATAATATGGTAACCAGAGATCAAATGAGCAGCTTTCATTGATGGTAAATCACTAACACATTTGGCTATGTCATAAAAGAATACAATGTACTATTTACTTGCCTAATTATTCTGGAAATAAACTCAAATTGTAGGCCAATGTCAACCCTCATCCTGAGGGTCATTGTTCTGCAATAACAGCAACCATCTCATGCCAAAGTGTGGCCTCCTGTATTTAAGTATCTAAACCTAAATTTTATTTTACAAAACTCCACATAAATTGTCATTACTTTTTACGAAGCAATGTACATCTGCAGGTCCACCTTATGCTAAAATGAAGACATTTATATAAAAAAGCAGCAATCTCACATAGTTCAAGTCCCATATTTGAAAAAAAAAAAGAGTGTACCATACTTGTTTTGAAATGGAGGAGTCCTCATCATCCATGGAGTCCTTGTTCTTGCCTCCTTCAGCCTGGCTGCTCTCTGCTTCAGTATCCCGCTTCTCCTTCTCTTTCTTTTTTTTCTCTGTCTCCTCTTTGAACTTCTTCAAAGCCTTGCCCTTCAGGTCTTTCATACCTATTGGCACTTTCTTTGCCCGGTGGAAAAACTTGTGCCTCAGCATTCTGAAACAAAGATGCTCAAGGATGAAGCTGACATCTAACACAAAAGAAGGAATGGAAGGAAGGGGACTCACATATCAAGGAATTCCACAATTTCTTCTTTATTACTGAAGAGGGGAGGAGTTTTCCCCTTGTCAGAAGCAAATGGAGAGTCCATGAGAATGTCCACAGCCTTGGAACCTGCAACATGAAAATTTTGATACTTCAGTGCAATGGTCAAGTCTGACATTGTCTTGTGGCACTCTGACACAACAATGAATGGGCCTCAAGGCAGCCAGTCAATCAAAACATTGACAAGAAATTACAGGATGTTCATAATTATCAAATGCTTATCAGTCAATAATTTACCTCTATTTGGAACAAAGCAGCAGATTCTTGTATAAGAAAAGTAACAGAAATACAGTTTAGAGGATATAATTTCCCAAAGTCCCAGTCAATGAGGATAAAGTCTTAGATTCAGATTGGTTATCAAAGTTGAGAAATTTGGCCTAGATTCCACAAAATGACAGTCGAAAAGAAACTTTTAAGCCATGAATGTTTTCTTCAAAATTAACCCTACTGAATCAAGAACTTGGTATTATCCAGTACTATGTATGACATTGCATGGTTTCTTATAGCTTCACAAGTTATTAGCAGTCAGAACATAATCAACAAATCTATTGCACAACATAATAAAGATGAATCAAGGTTGGCTGAACATCAATCATGTCTTAGGGTGAACTGCAATTAACTCCATACATTTTATGCATTATTTTTTTGCCCTTGGACAGGCAAAATCATGATCACAATGGAAATCCTCCCTCATGGACGCAAAAATCATTAAAAAGTGCAGAGTCAACTCAAATTCAGCTAAAAACAAAGAGCACAGATTGGAGACTGCTAGGAGTTCTTTGAGAGCCCACCAGTAAAATAGTTCACAGTGTGATGAAGCAGCCTTGTCTTCTTGGTTGGAACGTGCTTCATCATGTACTTTGCAACAGCTGTTTCCTCCTTGCTGGGCTTCTCATTTGGATTAATTCTTGGAAGATCCTGTTAAAAATGAGACATATACTGTAGACTCAGCTCAATGAAAATTCTTTCATCACACTCATATTCAACACCTTTTGTCTTTGATTACGTTTCAGAAAAGTTGCCTGCTTTTCAAGACAAACGAAAAAAGAAAGCTGCTTAATTTTTTGTAAGTCAGTGTTTCGAGAGTAAAGGGAAAAAGGAGACATAGGGATTAAGACAGAAAAACATGTTTTGTCTACAGACTCAATATCTAGTCAAGCAATGCCTGCAATCTTAATACATGTAAAGCATCATCAACAATGCAGGTTCTCTGCAACAAAATGACAACAGGAATAACAATGATGACTCAAACATAACTTTTACACCTAGTTCTACTCAATACATACTATCTCAATGCCAGTATCATATGTATTCTCCAGTGATTTCTTTTCTAATAAGGATAATGAGAAAGGGCAATGACCAAGACTTTAAGATCTTTCAAAGCCAATATATTTCCTTAAAGGAATTAGTGGTGATGCCAACTTGGGTGAATTTATTTTGAAGGCATGAAATAAGCCTATGCCTAAAAACCATTTCATGACAGAAAGAAAATCTAGAATGTGTGGCATTTACTTTGAAATTATAGGGAAGCAACAATGGAGTTTAAAATGGAAAATCTCAAAATGAAAACAGCACTTCTCGATGCTCCAGCAAAGGCCAAACATTGGCCATTCAGACTGACACCTGCTAAGCAAACAGTGGATATGCTGAAGTTACATGGCTTTTTCTTCTGAATACTCTCATATATCTCATGATACAATAGTCTTCTTGAATTACAGCTGTACAAGGGATGCCCTATCAGAGAGATACTGACATGAATCCCCCATAAAAATCCATGACAGATGATAAATTACTGGTTTTGCTACCCCTTAAATCTTTATCACCATCATGTCTCTTTTACTCGCTTAGCTTGTCATTCTGTATACTATGAACCTTTTCAGGATAAACAGGCATGACAGGGGGATTCGGCATGGGTTAGGCCAATTCTTATAATTAGGCTGAAAAACAGAGTGGTAAGCAAAATTAATGAAGAGGCTCCCATCTGAAGGAATTCACGTCACTTACCTCCTTCCCTTTTTTCTTTTGTTTTCGTCTTTCAGCCATTGTATCCTAGCGTCAGTCTGTCAATTACGAGCCTCCTAAATGCTTCCAGTTATGACTGGAACCTAAAAGGACTGCGTTCTGCCACTGTTACATGAACCTAGAGCAATAAAACGGAAACAAAGATAAGTAACTCGTATATGAGAACATTTCTCACTAAGCTTATGTTGCAGACCATCCCCCAACCAAGCCCCACACATGGGTGACGTGCGCACTGCACGCTGACGTTTTTCTCGATACTACACGGTTGCTGACCCTGGGATTCAACAATGCCCATTAAGAACACCTCTTAACGGGAAGAAATATATATAGCATTTCTGGATATATTAGTGGATGAATTAAATACAATATTCATTTTTATGTCACGGCGTTCGCTCTCAGATTTCCTTAAATGAGTCGAACTCTATTACGTTATTGCACTTCACTGTCTGATTCAATTCAATGGCGACTCGCATGAAACGCTGAAAACCGCCTGATACGCGCGGACAGGATTTCAAGATATTCTCGTTTCTCCAAAGCCTAATACAACTCTCATCGCAGAGAAAAAATGGCTCGGAATGCGGAAAAAGCCATGTGAGTTGAATTTAGACTTATTCAATCGATCTTTTTGAATTTTCGCATTTTTTAGGGTAAGCAGCAGAGAAAACTAAAATTAGAATTATTATCCCACATATTTGCAAGTGCTAACAGAAAATAAGGACAAATGTGTGAGCCAATGCAAAGACAAACAAAATAACTGGAATACAAGCAAGAGAAAGAAATAGAGGCAATGCAAACGGTGAGAAATTAGGCCATCCCTAGAACCACTTGGGTTTGCCCTGGGTGACCTGGTTGAAATAAGAAAAAGTATTTATCATTCTTTTACTTGCACCTGCATTCAGAATATTACATCGGTTTGAAGGAATAGGTTCCTGTCATTAAATTTAATGTCATGAAAGTGGAATATTTTGATTCAGATTGGTTTGGCTTTCTTGGTGAATTATTTGATGATAATGAAAATTAGTTAATTTACTTAATGTCAGAATTCCCCATACTAAAGAAAGATCTCTTGGGTGATCAAAGCTCATAACCTTCATGATTATTTTTTTGAAGCACTTCTATCTCGTGTAAATTTATTAGAAATATATTAGTCTAGCATAACATTTTTATCAAAGATGTAGGTTTCAACTCATTATGCACTATTTTGAATGAGTAGATTTGATCATTAGTATGTGCAATTGTTAGTGTAATTCATCATGTCAAAGAATGCCTTGAAAATATGCCTTGATATGTCAACATGCCTTGAAAAAAACTTTTAACCCACAGGGCTCACCTGTTGGTTTAGATGATCTACAACAGTATTATCCTGTAAAAATGAGCTTATTACAAGTGCACAAGCCTCTCACCGTAAGTAAGGTAGTATTTGTTATTATGGGGACTTTAGAAACAATTGTTTCCGTCTCTACCTGGGTGAGGAAAACCTCAACTCACACGGGGATTCCATTTAATAACAGGTTAAGTAGACGGTATCAAATTTTATTGGGGTCATAAGTCATTAAATACAGAGCTTAAAAATTCCATTCCATATTGAATAAAGGTTGAAGTAAGACATTCTCAAGTTTTCGGTTCTTTATTTAAAAATGAACAATATATTACTCTTCGATGCTGAAAAAACTATTATTATTGCTTCACCTTGGCCCACTAATTCCTTGGTCTGCCATTTGTCCACTTCTGGACATTTTAGTGAAAAATTAGACTAACTTGGTATAAGAATGTACTGCTGATTGTACGAAGGATGAAGTGTCCTTGATTCACGAGAAGGTTATGTGTGCTCCCTTGACTCTTTTGATGTAAAATTCAGAAGACTAATGGTTGCATAATAGAATGATTGAGAGGATTCCATTGACTTGGCTAATTTTTTAGTACAAGCCTTAATTGTATTTTTTAATTTCATGGGTGAGTAGACTTAGCTGTTGCACTTTTATGTTAGAGCATAGGAGAGAATAAATTGAAATGAATGAAAGTTAAGATGGCAATTGTGAGGTAATGCACCCCCACCCCCCTGGGGCAGTAAGAGTTGCTTCACTCTTTGCTATGCCTAGATTCAAACCAACTTCAACCTTGACTTAATTACAATTATTACTTGGATTCTCATTTCAGGACTGCATTGGCCCGATGGAGGGCTGCCCAAATGGCTGAGCAAGGCAAAGGGAAGGAGAGGAGACCCTATCTTGCATCAGAGTGTGATGACCTGAAGGATGCTGAGAAATGGAGATCACAGATTATCAGGGAAATTTCCAAAAAAGTCTCTCAGATACAAAATGGTCAGCTTTTTCTTCATCATGTATTTATCTACCCCTCCATCTTTAAAAAGAGCCTGGGGTTGCACTAGGTTTCTTGCTGTAGAGGTCCCTGGGACCCTCAGGTCTGATATGGAAGGGTCCCCTGATAATTAATGGGTTATTTTCCAAGTGAAGCACAAGGGAATCTTGAAAGGTTCCCCACAATGAAAAGTCCAACAATCTTGGACCTTCTGCTTATGTGTCCCAGGGGTCCTGGGACCCCTGGGATGTATGGGCAGGAGGCCAGGGCAAGAATCCTAGTGCAACCCCTGAGAGATCTATATTTTTGTTCAACATGGAAACTGAATACTATACTATTAGTAGAAGTATCACAACATTGACATCTTGGGATGTCAATGTTGTGATAGTTTCCAATTTCAGCAGTTTTCAACTTTGAAGTTCCAAATTCTTCTATAATAACATTTGGCCTGGCAGTGGAAAGATTGTATTTGAGTACATTAGTATTTCAAAGTAAGTCAATGTGAGTTTTTATGTCTGCTGAAACCTATAATTGGCTCATACTTTATCATTACAAAAGGCACTTAAGAATTATTTATATTTTCTAGTAATTTGTTATCTGACATCGTATTTGACATTCTTGGAAGGGATAAATATCAGAGGTTTTAGTTTAAGCTTTTTACTCAGGAAAATAAGTGGTTCTGATATCATTATCTGCCACTTTTACTATTTCTCCCTTATTATGACAGCTGGTCTTGGGGAATTCAAACTGCGTGACCTGAACGATGAGATCAACAAGCTTCTAAGGGAGAAGGGACACTGGGAAGTTCGAATACGGGAACTGGGTGGCCCTGATTACCACAGGGTGGGTCCTCGTATCTTTGACAAAGAAGGAAAGGAAGTCCCTGGAAACAGGGGATACAAGTATTTTGGAGCTGCAAAAGATCTACCTGGTGGGTCTTGTGTGGAACTTTTTTCTCTCATTGGTTTATGCATCTTTCTTGCTATACTCATATTCCTTCTGTAGGAGTGAGGGACCTATTTGAGCAACCCCCTGCCGAGGCGCCTAGGAAAACAAGAGCTGAACTCGTGAAGGACGTTGATGCCGATTACTATGGATATCGGGACGAGGATGATGGCGTCCTTGTACCATTGGAGAAGGCTGCAGAGAAGGATGGTGAGTTCATACTGTTGTTTTTGCAGAACATTTGGTGGGAGAATTTTATTTTATTGTAGTATTTAATATGCTTTGAATTTTTAGCTGTGAGGCGGTTGGTGGCTGAGTGGAAGGGCAAGAAGGAAGCAGGTATGCGTGATTCTGAAAACCAAGGTGACGATATTCAGGCACCTGTGGCATCACAAGAAGTACGTCTTGCATAATTGATACTGTCGATGCTGATGGCTACCCCAATAACTAATTTTTGGTATTTTTTACTTTTTCTTTCAGCAAGCAATGGAATGTGATGAGGTGGAAGAACCAGAAGTGAACACCAAGGAAGATGACACTAAATTCTTTGCTCATGTTCCTGTTCCCTCACAAGAGGATATCGAAAAGGCCTTGGTTGAAAGGCGCAAGCGTGAACTCCTCCTTCGATATGCTGGGGGTGCCGATTGAGCTTGTTTGAGGAATTTCATGTCCATCTGTCAAAAGACTGTGATAGATTTGTTATCCTTTGTAAGTGAATGGCAATGTGTTTCTTTTGTCCTCATCAAATGACAGTACATTTGAAGTGTTCATATAAGAATATTAGGTTTATTCAGATTTGTCACCTGACACAGGAAATGCAGTGCCACAAAGGAATGGTAACTTAAAGATGCAGGGAGGCAACAAGCTCTGCATTTTCCATACACTGTCAAGGGCCATCATGGACTTGGCGACAATGCATCCATCTAGCCACAGGAAGGTTTTCAACGTGTCTGTGTTTCATGACCCTTTAAGTTGAACCACCAATTATGCAAATGGAGAACACCACAGCTAGCCATTCCCTCAGAAACCCTGTTGGAATGGTTCTGGGCTATAACTAAGCCTGATCACCCCTTGAAATGACTCAATGTAGATTCGGCTTATGATTCACTAAACCTCGAACTCTGACATCTCCAGCTCTCAACATCTTAAGACAAACTCAGCTCTGCTCCAAAATATGTTTGGATTCAGTCATAACAGCATTCCAAGGCTGGGGAACAAATGTATTCCCTATGAGGAAATTATAATTTGCAACCTTTCTGCTATCTGACATCATAATGATTGCACCCACCTCCCAAAGTTCAGTGTTATCTCTTGCTCTACTCATCCCCTACTGCATGGGAGAGGTTTAATTTAAAAAATCGAAATGCCCATCTCATTTTGTATCTCGACTAGGTAGATAGGAGAATGCAGAGAGAATACCTTTATGACTAAGCTCTCTCTAAAACTAGGTACTTGTCAAAGTTATGGCCTAAAACATACAGTTAGTCGATGTGTATCAATGTCAATGAAAATGTACATCCAATAGAAGGAGTTGTGAATGGTTAATCTCATTAGCTAATCCCCTATCAGATCACAAGAACAACCCATCTGGAACTTCATTTTTCAACAATGCATCTCATGTAGTTGGTACTATTCCTCAGCATTTCACACCCAAATACAGATAAATTTATCATTAATAATCTTAGTCCAGTGCAGCGTCAGTGAATCATCCTACTAGAATGAGGAATATCCTTCCATGCTTCCAAATAGATAACTATAAAAGACAGCAACACATCTGCACTGTCACAAAAAGTAAAAAACACCCTGAATTCATCTGCTTCACGACTGGATATCACAGGGTAAGCAGGAGCTGATGGTAAAGAATACTGCTGTGAGTATCCAGTGCCGATCCTGCACTAGATGTTGGTGGGCTTGGCATCCGTGGATGGCACTGCATAGGGAGACGTATCCAGGGCTATTTGGCGATAGGCATCCAGGTCCTTCTTCAGGATGTTTAGGAGCATCTCAGAGCCCTGACAGATCTGAATAAATGAAGGCAGCACATATTTATTTTGCAAAAAGGCATGAAAATCTCAAGACTTAAAGCAACTAAAAGAAAGAAATCCACAAAGAGCTCTTCAGGTCCACCTAATGACAGGCTTCAAGATAACTTCATCTTTATAGCCATATAACTAAACATAATGAGAGTAGTAATAAGTGAATTGATTACCTTGCTTTAATTTCAGTCATCAGATTTAACTGATGATTAGAAAGAATGAATAAATAAAAAAAGAATGAGACCTATATTTCGGACCTTGGATCTGTGCTGTAACTGAAATTGGGGGGGGGGGGGGAAGTATAATAATACAGATTAAACCATCAAGCTATTGAATTATTATTTTGTTGTTTCACTAAATAAATTATTACTAAGATAGTCTGTTCTCACACACAGGAACAAACAAGTTAAGAAGTGATATGAAATCTTTCTGTTCAGGGTGTAGGAGGATTTGTGGACCGTATGAGATAAGAGAGCAAGGCTGGTGAGACCTAAACCCAAATCATAATATAAATAGAACTTTGCCTGAAACTATATAAGGTTCCTGATTGCATATTCAAGGGAGATGTTAATGATAAAAATTTTTATTTATTCATAAGCACATTGAAAATAAATTTTCCTGCCAAGGAATGAGTATCTGGGGTTAAGCCTACATGCATTCATTTTTAAGTGGATGTTTTTTCAAGTCTTAACAATATTCATCCTATGAACCAACCTTACCTTGTAGTAAGAACTTTCTGCATCTCGGATGGCTTCGGTGTAAGTGTTGAGGACGGGGGCGACGTTGGAAATCTTCTGGTTCACGGACGTCAACCGTTCGTGCAGCGCCTGCATTTCTCTCTCGAGCTCCTTCTTCTCCTTGTGGAGGGCCTCCATTCGTTCCATTACTTCTTCCCTCTGCTGCTTCAAAGTCTCTATGACTGCAGATTGACACAGAAATCCATTTCAGCCAAGAATGAAGGCAAAGGCTCACAATGCTCTCCAACTGATTTTTCTGCCTTCCATGGTCAATTGTGCTCACGAGAAACCTTGTGATATAAATTGTCACTAATATCAAAGGGTAATGCAATGAAGTGACTTTCCACCTAGAGCAGCATTTCCCAAGCTTTTTCATGTACAAACCCAAAAATCACAGTCATATCATTCCAGACCCCAAGTACTGGCCAAAGTTCAACAGGCTCGGCCACCTATGCACTAAAATCGCTAAGAAAAACATAACTTGGCATTTAGTAGCCAGTTCATGACCCATGATTTGGGAAGCCCTGACCTAGAGCAAGGGAACTTAGCACCTTGATGGTACAGCCCTTAGAAATGTATGGAGCAAATGTAATCCATCGGAAAATCATTCTCTAAGTAAACTGTATCCGTAGAATCTATTCATAGCCTTGGCCTAACATCAAGCCTTTGCATTGTAGCAAGTTTCAATTTTAATTATCAATAACTGAAAGTAGGAAATGGGGCAAGATGAGCAAAGGGGGAGTAGCACTAAGGGCTAGCAATCCCTGAATGATGAAGAGTATAGGGATGAACCATGTGCATTACGATGTACCCTATGGTATGATACAGCAGACATTTACAATAGGTGAGGATATAATACTGGGAATAGGGGGTGTTGTATTTCAGTTAAAACAGTATAGCCTATAAATTAAAAAAAATCAGGAGATGAATAATAGGGTGGCTCACACTAGCCAGAGCAAGTGCAGAAGGAAAGAGAAAAATCAAAACAAAGCAGAGCTGCCCTGAGGCTGAGAATTCAGTTATGTTTTCTGCTGGCCTGTGATTTAAGATGTTAAAAAAAAAGGGCAGTCTTGAAAAACTTTGGATTTGAATTCAGAATGAGGCCATTTCAACTGGATGTCTCTCTATTCCAGTAAGTTCTGTGGGAGTGAGGGTTCTACTGCCTTCCAGAAACATTTTCTTGGAAGGTTAGAGCTTGGGTATATGTGACTAGGATGCTGGAATAATATATTAGAATCACATGGCATGAGATTGCTTCGTGTTCAAAGGGTAACTAGGTTTTTATTGTCTGCACAATTCCAACGAGATTCCATGAGGTGTTGAATAAATTCCATCTGTCTTTGTAGTCTGCAGCATTCCAGAATCTGCTGAATTCTCTTGGAAACGGCTCAGAAGTTGATTACTTTTCTTTGTAGAGTGAAGGGATACTCTTTGCAGTGGTAAGTGGGAGTTTATTCAGAATGCTTCACTGGAAGCGAGTTATCTGATGGGGAGACAATCATAAATACAAGGAAAAAAAAGTATTTGCATTGCAGAGCTACTTTGTGTATGTGGTGATTAGATGAAAGAAAACGAGCTCATTGTGTACTAGAGTGGCATGTCTTGGGGGCAGTGCTTCGACTCTGTTTCATAGGCAGTGCGTATTTGAAACCCAAAAATTTAAACTGGCTCCATGGGCGAATAGCAATGGGGAAAGGAAAAAAATATATTGAGAAAGTAAACTATAAGTAAACCCACACACCTTTGACGAGATCGTTATTAAGTCGTTGTAGCTTAGCACCTTGTTGCGTCATCTTCATTTAAGATGCACTGATGTAAAACTTCAATCAAGAAAAGAAAAGAGAACCGGACAGACTGGAATGCAATCGAAATCACGTGCTTCTTGAAGTCAAGAGAGTGGCGCCAAGGCCAATCGCATGGAGGCAGCCATGTTGAGCAGCAATGCCATTTCAGCAGCTGCGCCTCCCCCCTCCGGCCTCCCGAACATTCAACATGGCGTCTACCTGATGCTAGTGTTGTTTGTTTCTTTCAGTCGGCGAGTGTATAACCGTCTGCTGGTAGGCTGAAGCCCCTTGTTATAGGTATAGGCCTATGCCTAACGTTTGGCCTATGTATTGGGGGGTTCTTGCGCTCGGAAAGATCTGTATTGATTTCTGTTGTCTTTGTTGTCGAATGTTTATTTGTTCATTGCCTTGTTGATTGTATTTCCCAATTGTCTGTTTTAATTGTAGGCCTAGGCCTCATAGTTAACAAAGAACTAGCGTTAAGGTCTTTCTGACGGATTGGCAAATACTTAAATAAATGTTATTCTTTTCCAAAGAAGAAATGAAGGGAGTGAAATGAGGGCAGATTCTGTGAGCATCCACTCAGCTCAGGAAGAAGATTCATCCCCAATGATTGGGGGTTGCTGTGTCTGCTCCGAGGAGAACGGATCCCCGGAGAATCCCCTCGTCTACTGTGATGGCAAAGGATGTAGTGTTGCTGTGCATAAAGGTTGGTGTAGACTTGAATTAAATCCAGAGCATTCAGAACAGTGTATAATCCCTACCTTAAGGAATGTTGTATGAATAAGCCTAATTTTTAGAATGCATAAACATTGCCAACGTGCATTAATCTTTCAATTCCAGCTTGCTATGGTATAGTGGAAGTTCCGCCTGGAGAGGATCCTTGGTATTGTCGAAAGTGTGAAGAAGGAGTTTGCAAAGCAGTGAGTTGATTGACATAGTTTTTTATTTGAACACACCCCACATTCATTATATCAGTCTGACTATGGGATGAGTGATTTAGGCCTCCAGGTGCATGATGTTACTTTAGCCAGCACACTTGTGAACCCATCCACTGCTATATTAATATATTTCAGGTAGTTTGCCAGGCCTTGGGACATCACCATGATGGTTTCTTGTTAATGTTGTCTGATCATTGTAGTCTGTTTCCTTTTTCTGTGCTGAATCTGAATGAACCTTTCTAGGCTTAGACTTGGATATGTTCTGGGATTGAATTTAGTTGATGTCACTTGGCCATCCCTCAGGTTTCACCACTTTGAACCATTTCAAAAGAATCTTGGCATAGACGGCAAATCAATGTATGATCAATGGGTTGACATTACAAACTATGGCCAACCTAAAGAAGTATAAGTCTGGGCATTCATTCCTGAATTCTTTTTCATATTTTTTCTCTGCAGAAATGTGAGTTATGTCCTAGCAAGGATGGAGCAATGAAGAGAACAGACACGGGTGGCTGGGCTCATGTCCTTTGTGGTCTGTACATCCCTGAGGTCCAATTTGGGAACTTGACCACAATGGAACCTCTGCAGATAGGTTCAATCCCAACAGAGAAATTTGAAAAGGTAGTTCTATATCTAGCATCATCTCCTTTTTCTTCAATTCAAAGTTTTCTTTTAGCTGTGATTATTTCTTTTAGAATTGCTAACATATGCACAATCAGAGTTTTTGATCCAGAACAAAAAAGTGCCAAATTTTTTGGGAATGAAAACATTTGTTGCACCAATTTTGCAGAAACAGTTCCCATCAGCTGTAAACATGCATAAAAAGTTAAGTTTTGTCAATGAATGAAATTGTACTTACTAAGTTCAAGAAAGTCAAACAAATACTGTTCTCCATCATCAGGTCTGCAGTCTGTGCAAGGAGAGAGGGAAGGAAAAGAAGGCAACTGTTGGGGCCTGCATGCAGTGTGCCAAACCAGGCTGCAAAGTGTCATTCCATGTCACCTGTGCACAGGTGGCTGGCCTTCTGTGCGAGCAAGCGGCCGGCAACTCCTCCGACCACGTCCAGTACTGTGGATATTGTGCAGTGCACCTGTCGAAACTGGTGAGGTTCTTGCCACCCTTTTACTTGCATATTTTAACATACCTGGTCACTTCTTCTCTGATCGGTGGCAAAATATAAATATGTTAATGGGATCATCTGTGTACAATGGTGCACCCCAGAAGATTTGTAAATTTCAGAGACGTGGCTCCAAGACCATCAAAGCGTTCAAGCCCCTGGCCAGCTTACACAGCCCAGAGTCCTCTCCGGACAAGATCTCTGACCCGAGTACAAGTTCTGGCTTTGGAAAGACGAAAAGGAGGAAAGCGAGCACAAGTGGGACTCCACGGGGACCTAGCCCGAGTGGAGTGGGCTCGCCCACTCCTCCGCCTGACCTCATTGAGCCAAAAGAGGAAAGTGGTGATGGTTCATCAAAATTCACCACTGCCAACTTTACTGAGATGTCAGTGGTAGCTGGTGACAGCATCTTTGGAGGTGGAGGACGGAGCAGTGGGTCTGAAATGGAACCGACGTCCAGTGATGTTCCATCTTTTAGCACTGCTCCTCCAGCTGAAAGAGATGGATCAGGGGAGACTATGGAAGTTGTGAAGGCAGAAGAACCCTCAGCCAACCTCCCCTTGTCTTCATCAGCCCCAGCCGCACCTCCTCTTCCTTCTACGTCGTCTTCTGCTGCTCAATACACTGACTTCTTTGGAGCCAGTGTGATGGAAGCAGCTGCCAGTACAAATTCACGCAAGAAGTCAGTACTCAAAAATTTATAGTTTTATTTCATTTCATACCCAAAATGGTTCTCATTTTTCCAATGTTTTGATTATATGAAGGTCTGGGAAGGAGAGGGCAAGGGGGCGGAAGGCACATAGACAAGGTCGAAAACCCAAGACTGGATATGGGAGACATACAGGGGAAAACACGTCAGTAAGATCAGAGGAGCACTCCCAGTGAGTTTCAGCTTTCTGCCTAAGATGTTTGCTTTATTTTTCCTATTTATTCTTTCACTATCTTAATTTGTCAATTTTCATGTCTATTTCTAATTATTGTTCTAGTTTTCTAGAATGGCTGTTTCCATTTGCATGTATATTGTGATTTCTTGAGCCTTCTTGAGTATTATTTATTTTGAGAATGCTTTTAGGTCTTTTTGGTTGTTCAAGTCATTTCCTGAAAAGAAAAAAGTCTATACCACCTGACAGTGATTGTACCAGGCATTGATAAAGTATAACTTCATGAAAACATTTGGCATCCCTTTTTCCCATTTTTTTAAATAGGGTTCTCGATGAAGGATACAAACCATTCAGCTTGCTGGGTAATGAGCTGAACCCGTCTTCTACCGTGGCCAAGCAGATGTTTGATACTTTTTACCCCAACGTGGATGCGACGGGGACACCGGCTCTATCCGAGGAACGGACCCCGGATCCAGTCGACGTGAAGCGTCTCCGGAATCTCTTTGCTCCCTCGCCGCTTCCAGTTCGCCATGAAAATGTCAGTGTTGATAAGAAGTTTGGTTTCGGAAGTTGAGGGTTTGTTAGTGAGAGGAAGGTGAATGATGATTCAGGATGGAGAGAGGAAGCCGCCAGTGACGCTGGAGGACTTGGTGGATTGCCCTCTGGATGACTCTCTCAGCTTCCTCATTGGGCACAACCAATCCCTCAATTGTGAGTTGATTTATTTTTTTGCCTGTGTTATTTCAAAAAGGTGGAGATGCTTGTGACATGTATTAGTGACTAATTCTTGCTGGTGGATCCGTAAAATGTTTGATGTTCAAGTGGGTTTTTTTGTCGTAATTCCTAGGTGTAATGATGCTTGCACCAGTTCATGATGTGTGACCATTCTTTGATGTAAAGGTGCTTAGCCTAACATGTAGTTCTCTAATGCTTCATGGAACAGAATGGCCTAAACCGAAAAATATGGGCTTGTTGAGTCAATTGGCGAGTGCTTCTCAATAAAATGTATCCATTGTATGCAAGTTCAGGCATGAGTAGCTAGGAATGTATTGATGAAAATGAGTTTAATTTATCGCTTTCAAAATAGATCAATCTCTTGATGCTACTATCACTAGCATCAGTGGCATTTATGACCCATTTTGATATTCCCTGCTCTTCCTCTCATCCAGCAACCCAACTTCCTCTCTGTTTGCAAAGAAGAAACAATGAGAGGCACAACTCCTTATAATCACAGTACATGAAGGAAGGCATCCTCAGTTTATGATGGTGTGACCTCCTCCAGCACGATGAACTACAATGGAAGTAGAGGGAAGGCATATATTCATGGTATATAAGAGCAGTAAATGATATCCTGATGCATCTTTGTACCATTGATAGTTGAGGGGTTCTCTGGAAAAGGGGCATATGTGCCCATATTCCCTTTTTCCATATCTGTGTCCATGTACAGCTTTAGATGACTTGTCATCAGATAGGGTGGTCAGCAAGTAGCTAAGATGAGTATTCAGCAAAGGATAAGCAGATTTTCCTATGCTCTCACTATATAGCAGACCAACTGCCTCGCAAATTCAATATGGCTGCCTCCATGAATATTCCATTAGCACTTGGATGATGAACGATTTTGGTGCGATTATTTTGTCCTTTTCAACTGAAAATGAAAATGAGGGAGAAAACAGACATGAAGATAAGGAAAGAAAGAGGCCCAGTCATTCAAGCCTCTGGAAGGATATGAGAAGTTAAAGATATCCATGAAATAGTTGTAGATTCAGATAATGAATTCATTAATACTGGATCACTGCTGAGTAATCAGCAAATGAAACGTGTCCTGAATGTTCAAAATTTTCTTGCTGTTCTTTAAGAAAGATATAAAATCTATCGATGTATTTATTGATTGAATATTATTTTTAGTGGGAAAGAAGTGGTGAAAGACTCTTTGGAAAAAGTTTCAGCAGTTTGGATATGGAAAAAGGGCATATGTGCATAAACACTTTCTGCCTGCATTGTGAGATAAAGAAATTAATAAAAACCCTAAGTTCATTTTGAAAAATGTATGAGATTCCATTTTACTGAGAATGAAGTTTTGATCAGCTTTGGATTAGTTATGGGAAGTTTTTATCATTTATCTCGAATTGCATCCTTTGCACATGCGCCCTTTTTCCAGAGAATTCCTCAGTTATAGCTAATGCAAAGATGCTTTCACAATAGCCATCATGACAACCTTTGTGTATGTGTAAAGCCATGATTGTCCATCCTAACATCACATGTGGATTGTGGAGAGCTATGTTTTGTGCAGCATCATATCAATATGCATGGTACTGCTCTTGGGTGCTTTTTCACATAATGTAATTTGTAAGTTGCTGTAAAGCATCTAGGAAATGGGGTATTTTTCCCATTGAAACTTTCCAGTCTTCGATGTGTTAACATTGTTTCAGTTTTACCACACCATTGTAGTTGACTCCTCTGTAGGCTCATTGGCTCATCAGGACCAGCCCTACATCTCATAATTTTTTTACTCTGATATCTAGTGCCCCGACTCCTGAACGAGGTGTGTGAGCTGAGGGAAGACAACCAACGAAGGAGACATCGGATTGAAGATATGCAGAAGAAGCTCCACCAGCTGAGGAGTCTCAAGCAGGAGCTCATGCTCACCACCACGCGATCCATAGCCCATCATCACCATATGAATCCTCATCATCAGCCAACGGGTAATGAGTCGTTTCCTCATCTTTTGTCGTGCATTCCCTCTGCATAGCTCTTGAATAGCCAATTCAATTGGAAATGGCTAATTCTTGTGGATCTTGAAGGTGTTGAAGCATTCTTGTACATTGCTATGGACCCTTGTCTTCTCCCCAGATGGATCCCCATCAAACATGCATCGAATGCCTGCAGCAGGGACACCCACTTCCCATCATAAGACTCAATCTCCTGTGGCTCCTGCTTCACATCATCCCAACCCCATTCATCCGGTCTCACATCCGCATCCGAGTCCATCTTATCACGTGCGGTCAGTCCTTGCAAGAGTCACGTCGACCTGTCGATTGAGATGTTCTCGTCCGTGCTGAGAGTAAACCCTGCTCCTGCATACCATGTTTAGCACCCATCCCGTGTATCCTCCATCGGGGCCAGCTCCTCAAGGCCACCTGTCTGCAGCTGCACCGCCGCAGGGGCCTGCCCCGCCACAGCAGCTACCCCCGGGGCATCATCCCCCGGCCGACTTGAGCCGCAAGGGTCTCCCCCCGACACCCCATCCTCATGCCTACCGAGCCCATCTCCCTACCTCTCAGCCCCAGGTAAACATCATCATTCATTTCTATCCCATTTTCACCTCCCTTAATTACATATTTTAATTTCTCCTGTTTTAAAATAAAATGAAAGTGTTAGTATATCCTAACAAAGTGTGGGACCAGAGGCCCGAAAATCAGTGACCATTGAACTGTCTGGGGAGAGAAAATACTTTAATTTTTGGCCCTTACTGCTTTTTTCATAAAACTTGTATTGAATGTGACTGCCATGTTCCAAATACATATATCAGTTTAATTTGATGTGCATAAGTAATTGTTAGAGCAATTATGTGAGCAAAGCAGGAAATTGGAAATGAACAGGAGTCTGTTCTAATAGTTGAGGAAAAAGAATGCTCATTCATTCATTTATGGTTTTATTCCAGACCTGTTGTTTCTGTTGAATTTAAATTCATTTTCATTTGGCCTTTCCTTCTTGATGGATTGATGAGCTTTTTTTCAATTGCCTTATAGCCTTGCTTAGGTTAAATCAGGGATGTGCGACCCGCAGGCTGCATGTGGCTCGCGGACTTGCTTCTTGCAGTCCAGTAATGCATAATTACTCAAAATTAATTAATTAATCAAAAACATTTGTAACCTTCATTAGTTTTATGTAGACTTTAACCTTTCCCAAGTATGTTTGATGACTTTAGTCCATTCTCAAGCCAAAATGTCAATAAGCAATTTATGGAGGAAAGGGAATGTCTTTGTTTCACTGCTGAAGATATGGATGCTCTGCAATCTAGCATGTATAATTTTTTAAAGACACTTTTGGTTTTATTATTTCTGTTCTGAATTAGTGATTCCCTTTGTTCCCCATCTTCATCATCACATTCCCTGTTAGCTACAAACTTAGGCCCAAATGGACAAACATCATTTAGGGGAGATAAAGGGGACTTTAAGCTAAGGAGCTCTTTGACTCCCATAGAAGTCCCATGTATTCTTACAGGACTAAAGAAGGTATCGGCATTCACGCCTTAGTATTTTTAACTTTTCAGAAGCAAGCTCTACATACTTTCTTTCTTTCTTTCATTTTTCCTTCCATTTCAGCACTGGCCAACATCCGAAGGTACAAAGATGAACAAGACGCACTGAGGTGGACCTTCCGAGATCCGTGCGTTCCGAGTATGTACCTGTGATTTCATGATGATGCCTGATTTTGTTACAATATTCAGTAATAAATTCTCATCGACTTTGACCGATCATTTGGCAGCTCTCGTCTTTTTTTTTCATTGCCTTGGCATATCTTTGGTCTTCCCTAGTGGCCATGTAATCTTTCTTTTGTGGGTTTTGACTTGAGGTCCATTGAATTTCATCTGATGCAGTAAAGTAAATTGGTGTTTGTCTCCAAACTACCTAGTCCTGCCATAAATACTGTTAAAAGGTTTTTTTGTAATAACTCTTTTTATATAAAACATACACTGTATTTGCTAACAGCATTTATTTCCCTACATAATTACTAACATATTACAGAAACATTCAAAATGTCCACCCCTGGCCTTCACACATGATTTTAAACGATCAGACCACTCATCCATCGCAGTACGCACCACTTCCATTGGATATTGGCTGCTGATTTTGCAAGGGCTCGCTTGAGACTTTCAATATTTGGATGTCTTCTGTGGTTGGTCATCAGCTCCAACTCTGCCCACAGTTTGTTGTCCAGTGGGTTCCCAGATGGCCAATCGGAGACCTTGATGAACTTGGGGACATTGCTGGCTAGCCACTCCTGCGTCGTCCTAACCTTATTAGCAGGTTCGGAGTCTTGCTGGAAGATCCAGTTGCCCCCATTGAACATTGTTTAGTTGAGAGGCTTCACTGACTTCTCTAAGACTTACTCCTGGTATACTTTGGCTGATGTCGTCACTTCTTGCTTCCAGAAATGCAGCTTAGTGACACCCTCATAAAACACCCCCCCACCAAACCATGACAGAAGCAGTATGGTGACCTCTCTTCACTTTATGCATGACTTCTGCAGCTTCCCAAGAATTGTGGGCATACACTTGGCCATTTGGCCAGTTGAATTTTTCTTCAACAGTGAAGATTTTCTCATCAGTAAAGATGATTTTATGGTATCTGTTTTGCGCGTACCTCTGCAGCTACACTTTCGATCGCGACCTCCTGATTTCTTTCAGAGATGGAGTCAGCATGTGTCCTGTGCTTCTTCGGTAAGCACACATCATTAGGTTTGATTTAATCAACCGATACGTGCTTCTAGTCGAGATGGCCATTTCCCTGGACATCACTTTCTGCTTGCGTGGAGGATTTCGCTGAATCCTGTTGCTAACTTCTTTGATGACTCGTGGTGTTCTGGCAGTGAGTAGACGTCCAGATCTAGGGCGGTCTCGTACTCCCTGAGTATCATTGTAACGTTTGATAGCTCGGTAAGCAAACTGCCGACTGATTCTAAGTGGCTGCAAAGTCTTGAAATGATCGCAGGTTTCTGACCCACTTTGTGCAGGGCTATCTCTGCTATGCGATTCTCTTTGTCGCCCCACTCCATGTTTACTGCACGCAACACAACAGCCAAAATGTTACCAAACAATACGGCAGATAATACACTACACGATTACCAGGTTACAAGTTTCTAGCTTCTTTCGCTAGAATGCAAGGAACATGTAAATCTTGTAACAGTATTTATGGCAGAAGTAGGTAGATGCTCTCAATGTCAATTAATCCGTTATCAATAAATACTCTCAATGTCATAATCTGAAAATTTCTCATTGGAAGTTGGGGTTCCAGGATTGTTAGGGGTTTGAATCACTCATAACGTTGTTTCTGTCTTTGGAGATATGCATGTCGAAAATCTGGCAGGTCTCTCGATTTCCTTTCTCCATCAAATGATTCCATACATACCGAAGCGGAGGCATACGAATTCGTGGTAAAATGCAGAGATGGTGTTATTCTCTAAAATAATTCATTACGTAGAATAAGGAGCAATTGTAATAAGTCATTACGTAGAATAAGGAGCAATTGTAAACAGTCAGAAAATGCACATAATGGAGCAGGAGAGGTCGCCAATTAATATACTGTCAGGATTCGAAGTTGAATCGAGTGTAGATGCAAAAGAACCCCTCCGGAATCACTAGCTCTTCAGGGACACAGCAGGTTTCATTCCACCTTCTTACCGCTAAAAAAAAATGTTTTTTCTCATACTCGTACTCATTGCACGTTCACCATTCCCTAGGAACTTTTTGCATTGCCTGTTTTTTTCAATTCAGTCATATATTTTGCTTCTTCAGTCTCCCGGTTTTTACATATATGAAATACAGTGGATGGAAATGTGAAAGTCGTGGTGGCGACGGCGCGAACTGCCACTCATCAACTAAAAAAATGCCCTTCACACAGTTTTTTACGATCCTTTTTCTTACGTATGTTCTTGGACAACAGCCATTACTTCAGTTACGGAATCAGAAACCGAAGCTTACGGTAGTAGCTAACACCTGCAGGCTTAATCTCTTACAGACGATAAATATTTCTGTACTTGTCGGAATTCTAGCTGATGCGGACGGTCGACTTGCGGCAGAAGGATTCTGGGTTCAATTCTATATTCAGTAATCGAGGGATTTCCGTTCTGGAGAAACGATGCATAAGAAACACGACAAGTGACGTCACTCAGCGCCGGAAGCATGTTTTCAAATGTTTACACTCTTAAACGACGTCCGATGAGGAGCTCAAATTACGTCGCAGGAAAAAAGGGAAGAAGTGACACGGGACGGCTGTGTGCCTTCACGCGTTTGCAATGATGGAGCAGCCGTGATTTCAAGGGATTTTCAAGACGCGGGCCTCCGATTCTTCAAAGATACCAACACGTTTGGGAGGAAGGAATCAAGGAGGCGACGTCGTAGGCTTTCGACCTTGAAGAGGAATTGGTCAGTGAAAGAGGAGAAACTCGGCACCAATTGCCTTCCAACGCTTCTGGGCCACTTGACTTTTGTTGGAGTCGGTTCACGAGGGAAGAGCCAGACAGTATATCCATGGTTGGTTTCTGGGTCGAATTGGTATGTCCATGATGATGTCATTGTTGGCTTTGGAAAACCCAGAGTTGTACTTTTGGATCCTGACGGATTATCTTGCTTCTAAATCGGAACGAGCTCTTGCATTCACACTTGATTGTCGGGGGAGATACCCTAAACAAAATGAATACTTGTATGACTAGAATGCCTGTCCCTTCCTATGAATGAAATTCACCATATCGTGGTTTTCTGGAAAAAAATTTTTCTCTGTCATTTATTCAGTTGATCCCGTGTCTTCCGTTCCGTCTCCAAGGAATGCCGGATAGGAAGTAATGTGAAAATCATTTTTCAAAGGCGTGGCCCAAAGCAAATTCGGAGCTTGTGGTTATGTTAGATATCCCATGATGCTTATTCTATCGACTTTTCAGAATACTTGACAATATATGAACTGCCCAATGCCGGTACAATGTGCATTTCGTCGAAAGGAGCGCACAATTCATTGGAAAAACGTCGATGTTCATGCTGAAGTAATGTGTTGTTTGTCTTAGTTGCCATAGAAACTGACATAAGCACTGCCCTATTCGCCCTGTATAAAATAAATACTTTATAATTCAATAAGGAAAGGCCTGGAAGTTCAAGGTCACCAATGACGAACAACGTGTCCATCACCATAAAATATGATAGACAGATGAGTGGGTCCGGCTCGTTCATCAATCGGTAAATGTCGAGAGCCTAATTATATGGGAGACGATGCAAAACCGCAAATGGGCATTCCATCTCCCATAGTCGAGTGCCTCAATTGCATTATTGCATTCATGACTCAAGATGAGTTCGAATATATTTCCTCCGGAAGTGAAGAGCAACAGTCCTTTTAGCACATAACAATGAATCAACATTGAAAAAACATGGATTCACAACAGTGAAACATGTTTCATTGTTACGTGCTGCTAGGGAGGGTTCTAACCCATCTCGTCTATGCCTGAATGTCCTCACTGTGGCCTAGGTGAGAACAAAGTGAGAGAGATTATTATTATTGTAATAATAATCGACTCTTTTCTGCGCCCTAGTGAAAAAAAAAGCTTATTGGACTGTTCTGAATTAAAGAGGCGCTGGAGTACTTGCAGCGATCCCAAGGCACTCAGTCGACGACAACGACATATCGAATAGAGTGGCGACAGAGATTCTCCGCTCCGAAAATCACCGTCGGTCGAAAGCCATCGTTCAGGATAGGCGAAAAAGCACGGGGATCTTGCATGCATTCTACATTTTTCATGGGAAAATCCCTCGAAATCGTCGAAATGCCGTCGAACTTCTTCGGCGCGTTCTACAATTTATTTTGAAGTATTCCTAATTTTGGATGTAATATTAATACATTTGCTTTCTCCTGCTGGCGATTGCGTTTAAGTGCATATTAGAATTCAGCCAAATAAGCTCCCAAAAGAAACTTCATGGATGTTGAATGGAAAATGAAAGATCAAAACTGCATTGGAACAGCAGAGGAACTTAAATCGTAAGGATTTGTGGCATGATGGAGTACGGTTATATTCAGTGAGAGATTTTCTCCATTTTCTCATTCCAAACACTTGAGATACTGGTCCCTGATGAAAAAAAAAACCAGTGCTGCCTCCGTTCCAATGCAAATGCCTCATGTTTTATTGAGATGAACCGCTCTAAAATTGTATAATTTTTTACGAGTTGGGTCATGAAATGATAAGTTTTCCACTCGTCATATGTTGATTCCCAGAATAGACAGCTGCGTCAACTGTGACTGAGAGCTTCAATAGGGTCAGGAAGAACTGTTGAGGGTACCTTTAGATATGAAATATCTAGAACATCTGACATGGTCGATAAAGATAGAAATTGTGCTAAAGGACGTTGAAATGAAGAGTGTGACAGTCTTGCGAAGACGATTCACACTTCTCATGGATAATATGGGCTACAAGCAGGAACATCATCCTGCTCTTTTATGTCAATTTAAGTAAGAGGGGACTGTGCAAGAACGAAAATAAAAAGAAAGGTGCAGGACAGTGATCCTGTTTGTAGTCCATATTTTCCCCAGGAAAGGTTTGAAGCGTAACTGCGAAAGTCATACTCTTCGTCTTCGTGAACATCAGCACAACTTCATTATTTTATTGTTTTGTCAGATTTTCCTAAATCTTCGTGTCAATACAGACTCCATAGTTTTTCCAGGTCTTATTGCAACTCCCAGTCAAAGGTTCTGTCGCTGTCTTCACTAGGAGTCAATATGC